CACTAAACAAAGAAAATGTTGGTTCAGACAGGCCAATGAGCTTATTTATAGTTGAGTACTCGACTAATTACGTGCATTTTAGCGCAGAGTTGATTGGAAAACCTAGTTCACAGTATGCTAGTAATTTGCTCGAGTATATACTAATATTTATATATAATATTATATTTATATATTATGCTAATATATAAAATATATACTAATAATTTAGTATATTAGGAGAGGAGAGGAGATTGTATACATGGAAGGCACCAGCAGAAAAACCCCATAACGTAATTAGAAACCAGATAGATTATATATTGGTAAATAGAAGATTCAGAAACAGTTTTAAATCTGTCAAAACATATCCAGGAGCAGACATTGAATCTGACCACATACCTTTAGTGGGATTCATGGTTGTGAGACTGAAGACAATAAAGAAAAAATCTAGACCTAACTACGACATGACAGCCCTGCAACATCCGGAAGTTAAAAAGCAAGTGGGGAATATATTAACAACCAAGTTAAACAACTAAAAGAAGAAAATAACATCCAACGAGAAATCAATCAATTCCAAGAAATAATTAAGAAAACTAAACAAGATCTGCTAAAACCAAACAAAGAAACAAAGAAGACATCTTGGATGACTCCAGAAATCCTTCACTTAATGGAATGCAGAAGGTTAATTAAAGGAAATAAAGATGAGTATAAAAAATGCAGGCTTACATCAGAAGAAAAATAAGAGAAGCTAAAGAAAAAGAAGCTGTAGAGAAATGTACAGAAATAGAAAGACTACAAGCCAAGCATGACAATTTTAATGTACACAAAAAGGTCAAAGAAATAACGGGTACTTTTAAAAAGCGAACACAAATGAAACTCCATAGACACCAATGGAAAATTAATCATTGACACCCAAGAGATGAAAGAAAAATGGAGAATATATTTGGAGACACTTTTTCAAGATCAAAGAACGGATTATAGGCATCCATTTTCAGAGAGGATGACGGGCCCGGACATACTTAAATCCGAGTTAGAAGAAGCAATAAAGCGGATGAAAAGCAGGAAAGCTGTAGGGCTTGATAATATGGAAGCTGAATTTTTAAAACTCTTGAAGGAAGAAGGAATAATTTGGATCACGGCTGTCTTCAATAAAATATACAATACAGGAATCATCCCTGATAAATGGCTAAAATCAGAATTCATAGCGATACCTAAAAAACAGGGGGCTAAAAAGTGCGAAGAATATCGAACAATCAGCCTAATGAGCCATATGTTGAAACTGTTTCTTAGAGTCATCCATGGAAGAATTTATAAAAAGTGCGATGAACACAAATGGTACAGACAGTTCGGCTTCATTAACGCAGTGGGTACCCGAGAGGCACTTTTCCGAGTACAGGTACTGATTCAAAGATGCAGGGACGTTAACTGCGACGTATACGCGTGCTTGATCGACTATGAAAAGGCATTTGACAGAGTTCAACATCAAAAGATGATAAACATTTTAAAAGAGGCAGACTTGGATGACAAAGACCTCAGAATAATTTTAGAACTCTACTGGAATCAGACCGCATACATGAAAATTAACGTGGAGTTAGACAGGGATGTATCCTATCGCCGTTGATATTTAATATGTACTCAGAGAAAATTTTTAACGAGGCTCTTTACGGAATAGACGAAGGCATCCTTCTAAATGGTGAAAGAGTAAACAATGTTAGATATGCCGACGACACCATGGTGATAGCAGATAGTTTAGAGGGACTTCAGAGGCTAATGGACAGAATAAACGAGTACAGTCAACAGTACGGACTAAACATTAATACCCACAAAACGAAACAAATGATTATCAGCAAGGAGAATATAAACGGGGCTCATCTATACATTAATGGGACGCAGATAGAGCGAGTAAAACAGTTTTGTTACCTGGGAACTATTATTAACGAACAGTGGAGCAATTTACAGGAAATAAAGTGCCGCATAGGAAAGGCAAGAACGGTCTTTAATAAAATGAGCGCCATCTTCAAAAGTCGCAACATATCCCTAATACAAAAATGAGACATTTGAGATGCTATGTTTTCTCTGTGTTGTTGTACGGAGCGGAGGCATGGAGCGTACAGACACCACTATTAAAAAACTTGAAGCATTTGAGATGTGGCTTTTTAGAAGAATGCTGAGAATATCATGGACAGCAAAGATCACGAACAAGGAAGTTCTTGGAAAAATGAAGAAGGAACCAGAGATTGTGTTTACGATCAAACGTATAAAATTGCAATATCTGGGACACGTTATGAGAAATCAGCACCGTTACTCCCTGCTACAGTCTATATTGCAAGGTAAAGTCAAAAGTAAGCGTGGACCCGGTAGAAGGAGAATATCATGGCTGCGGAATTTAAGAACATGGTTTAAGAAAACCTCAACGGAGCTGTTTCGAGCCGCAGCGAGCAAGGTTATGATTGCCAATATGATTTCCAACATCCGAAACGGATAGGAACCAGAAGAAGAAGAATACTAATAATTTAGTAATTAAAATTTCCGCTATTGACCAAAAATGTTCGCAGCAATACACAAGTTAGTGCCTTTTTGTAAAATAAACAAATACGCTGCAAAGCACTAATAACAATAATCCTATAAACCTTTTAATGAATATTAATATAATTTATAAAACTTATATGGAAATTTATAAATGGATAGTTCCCGGGAGTTGGCTGTATACCATGTATACCATATTACAAGAGTTGTAGGTTATAGGGTGTAAGGTACACAAGAGGTCTAAGATTATTTTCGTGGTACTTCGTATCTAGTACTTTAACTACTCTTCAAATATAACTAGTAGCAACTGTAGGTTGAAATAAATAAAATGAACATCACTGTGAGCGGTATAATTACTAAAAACAACAATAACTTTTTAAAAATAGTTTACAACAAACGTTATGTCCACAGCTTGCAATCTAATGGCTGAATATTAATTGATAGCATCCGGTCCGGTCACACCATCTACGTTATCAAGTGGCAGTGATGCCAGATATTAATTATGTTACATCATCTACCTTTTGATTAGACGTAAAATATGTCTGATACAAAACCAAAGTAACTAACTATTGGCGAGGACTTAGAACATACCTCGGGCATCATACATAAGTATCTTGGTAGCGCTTAGCTGGGTCTCTGAATGGACCAATCACTCTTTGTAGTCAAAGAGGTACTTCTGGGATCGATGGATGTGATTGAAGGTACACCAGAACTTGTAGATTGCTGCGTTGACTTTGGATGTCATTTAGGATAGCACCTTTGGTTTTATCTGCGACATATTTCTTTAACGTGGTTGAAGGTCGATCTCTACTACGCAACTTATGAAGAGGTGATATAGTCGAATTGAAATCATCTTCCACAAAAGGATAAAGAGCAAACACATGGTACTTTCCAATCAATACATCAGGGTGGGCTAGGTTTGCTAACTCGTACGAACCAGGAGAAAGTTGACTAAGCTGTCTTTTATCAAATACAGCAGTTTGAACATAGAATTTAGAAGCACCTTGACGTAATTATTTTCTAGCGCAGTTAATAAAATGTCAGTATGCCAGCGCAAGTAAGGCGTTATCTCAGGAATAACCGTTTCACTCGCGACAATATTTTTACTATTTTTACGTTCTTCTGGATTTAAGACAGGGTGATAAACAGAATCGGGGTCGGTTGTCACTTATTAATCTACCTGCCGTATCGTAAATATATTTCACTTATTAGTACCTTTGTGCACTTCTCTGCAGTAGCTTGTTTTAAGGGAAATAGTTCTATCCATTTTGTGGAAATATGTTCCACTGCAAAAATTCATTTGTTTTTTTTTTTAGTCACAGGTTATGGTCCCACTAAATCAATTGCAATGCATTCAAAGCCTTCTGTCAACACAGGTGTTTGAATCAGATCTGCCGGTTTCAGATTCAAAGGTTTATACCTTTGGCAGTCGATGCATTTCTTTTTATGCTTTACGACATCTCGTCTAATGGTAGGTCAGTAGTAACAAAGAGCAATTCTTTGGATCGTCTTTTTGACACCATGATATCCTTAAAGTGCATATCATGGCACTGTTTTAAAACATCTGTTATTTTACTTTGAGGCACTACTAACTGACCGTCCTCACATTAAAGGTCCTGATTATAGCGATACAAAACTTTTTGATTCATGACATATCTGCGATCGGTATATCGGTTGAAATTTAGGTTCTTGTGATTCAAAGCAATCAATAATTATTTTAAGTTGTGAGTCAGAGAACTGTTCCTCTCTAAGTTTTTTTAGTGCTTATCGTAAAAAAATGGGATAAAAACTTCGTTGCACCAGTTGTAATAAAAGATTATAAACGTTGTATTATCAATGTATTAATGCTATTAATGATCTGTTAATGTTCAGTATGTTCAAGTATGTATGGCAAAATTGATGGAGAACATATTTGTAAGGAGCAAAGCAGGAGCAGCTAAAATTTACAAACAATTGCATACTAGATAGCAACTGAGATTAGCCAGAGATACTTATTAAGTCTATTAATATTTAATCGAATATAGCACGAGGTGATAAAATAAATAATAAGGAAAATCAGAAACGAGCAAGTTTTCTGCAGATGAACAGTTTTGATAGCGGAAAAAGAAGACGACATATTAAGAATGTTACCAGTTTTATACTAAGTTTTTTAAACTAAGGCTCGATGGAATAGCCAGCACAATCTCCCGATCTGACGCCATTAGACTTCTTGTGGAGATATGTTGAATAACGTTAGAAGAATTCTCTAATTTAGATTAGGATGTTGTCAAGAAATAAGCGAGCATCTCCTACATTTGCATTAATGTATTTTTTTATGCATTATCAAAAAATAAACGGTAGATATTCCATTCGGCTGTTTCACCCTGTATAAATATAAAAATAAGAACAGAGGTAACCACGAAAAGAAGTGGTTTAATTTAAAATACCTTTTAATTCAACATGAAAATATCGCCACAAAAAAAAAACAACAAAAAGTAATTGGTTTAATCTGTTTCTAGGGTATCAAAGATCTGGAGGAGCCATAATCTTCCCCGATGACGATTTCAACCCAGGAGTACTTCCACGATTAAAGGGAACTCCTCCATGTGCCAAGGGTTCAACATTTTGCGAACATTTTGGGGAGTATCCGCATGATCTATTAAAAAATATTCTTAAAGAACATAGTGTAAATAAAGACCTTTTTGGAACCGATATAGTGCCACAATTTGGTAAGTGAATCTTAGGTTTTTGTAAATTTTTTAACAAAAATACTTTGTTTCAAATTGTGTTTGGTTGTTGTTCAATGATATCTACCATATAGTTTCGTGGTACTCTCTTCAATATTTGACGATATTAAGATCAAGTAACAAAATTATTTATCTGTATTTTAGAAGCAAGAGATGGTTCGAATGATCTGTTCGTTTGTCAGTCGAAAGTGATGACAGTATTTCCGAAAGTAGCTAAAAATGTTAACAATGATTGGAGGATTATTATTAACCAGGGAGACAAAGAAGGGTATATCCAAGGTGTTGTAATAGAGACATGTATGGGGTAAGTTACTTTATTCAAATAAATAAATAATAATTAATCAAAAAAACACAATTTTAAATAATATCCTAATAATAAATAAAATTTCAGAATATTTGATGTGCAAAATTTGATGTGCATCTTAGTTATATCTTTTCGAAAGCCGTCGTTCATGAAACCCATTTCGAAATTCTGGAACACTTGGCGGCCAATGACCTGACATCCATACTAGCGTTATACTGTTATGTTATCGAGTTATTTTTTCTCGGTATTCCCACACTAGTCTATATGCTACCTTAGGGCTTCTGAGAGTCCCTATAACCGCTTGACTATCTATGTATATTCGCTTAAATTCAAAAGCCTTTATGTTAATTCCACTGAAATTTGGTTAATATCAATAGAACATGACTGATTTTAAAGTCTACATTTTTCTACAGTCTCCCCTCACTTAGTTATTCATTCTATATACGGATTTCAAGTAAGCTTTGTGACTAATATTAGCCTGAGGTATTTCACTTCAGTTCTTCTAAATTTCTTCTTCTTGTAAGTTTCAAGTTTCATGATTTTGGACGTCTGGAAGTGTTATGATATTGGACATGATAACAAAACAATAAAAATACTTCTTCTTCAAGTGCCCTCTCCGCCACGGAGTTTGGCAATCATCATTGCTATTCGTATCTTTGAAGCTGTTGCTTTAAATAATTGGTTAGATGTGCACTGGAACCAGTCTCCTAAATTTCGCAGCCAAGATATACGTCGTCTCCCCACGCTTCGTTTGCCCTGAATCTTTCCTTGGATAATAACTGGAGCAATTGGTACTTTTTTCCTTTCATCATATGACCAAGATATTCCAGCTTTCTTCTCTTGATGGTGATCAACAGCTCCCGTTCTTTGTTCATTCTTCAAAGAACTACACTATTTGTTATTTTAAAAAAATTAAAAAAATCCACAAGGAAAAAAATTCCTGTAGCTGGCTGTATACCACGTATCACAAAAAAGAAGTTAGTCTTTGTAAATGGGTATATTTATTTTAAAAAAACCTTTAAAAGGGCTACATCAATAAAATAAACGTTTTCGACCACACAGTCCATCATCAGGTTTTAAAATCGAAAAATGCTAGGTATTGTGACCTAGCATTTTTCGATTTTAAAACCTGATGATGGACCTGAGCCATCATCAGGTTAAAGCCTGAGCCACCAAAATACTAGGGTAAAAACCCTTTAAATTACATTTAGTTATAAAAGATTGTACATTTTGTTGTAAAATAACTGTGATGTTCAGTATTAAATTAAATTTGGCTAGAGGTAACACATGGCTGAAGCGAGTTCCAGAGCCGGTGAGCGAGTTCAGCGAGTTCCAGAGTTCCTCACCGGCTTTGGAACTCGCTTCAGCCATGTGTTACCTCTAGCCAAATTTAATTTAATAGTGAACATCACAGTTATTTTACAACACACTGTACAATCTTTTATAACTAAATGTATTTTAAAGGGTTTTTACCCTAGTATTTTGGTGGCTCAGGCATTGTGACCTAGCATTTTTCGATTTTAAAACCTGATGATGGACTGTGTGGTCCGAAAACGTTTGTTTTATTGATGTGGCCCTTTTAAGGGTTTTTTTAAAATAAATATACCCATTTACAAAGACTAACCTCTTTTTTTTTCAATCTCATTTCGAAGGCCTCTAGTTTATCGATATTGTTCTTGTTGAAAGTACAAGTCTCTACCCCGTACAGCAGTATCGAAAAGATGTAGCATCCAACCAATCTCATTTGCAGGTTTAGGTTAATGTCATGACTTCCCAGAATGTTCTTCATATTAACAAAAGCAGCTCGAGCCTTTCCAATTCTAGTTTTTATTTCTTTTGTGATGTCATTGTTGTTATTAACACTTATTCCCAAGTATTTATATTTGTGCACCCGTTCGATTTCGTTATTGTGAATGTGCAGGTTTGCATTAAATCTTTGTTTTTTTGAAATAATCATGAATTTCGTCTTCTTGACATTCATTGTTCTCCTTTCTCTTCACTAGACGTGACTATCTTGTTTAAAATGGCTTGCAGGTCTTCTACTGTCTCCGCCATTAAAACCGTATCATCTGCGTATCTAATATTATTAATTGGTTGGCGGTTAACTTTTATCCCAATCTCTTCTTCCTCCAATGCTTTCTTCATAATTTCTTCCGAATAGAGATATAGATATATGGAATAATACCTAGGGAATGGCTTCGTTCGACCTTTATACTACTGCCAAAAAAGGCAAATACAAAGGAATGCAACGAATATCGTACGATAGCTTTGATGTGTCATGCTCTAAAACTGTTCTTATAAATAATCCATAATAGGATCTATAGGAAATTAGACGTAGACATCAGTAACACTCAGATGGGATTCAGAAAAGGGCTGGGTACAAGGGAGGCTCTGTTTGCAATGAACGTTCTCTCACAGAGATGCTTAGACATGAACCAAGAAATTTACGCCTGCTTTATTGATTTCGAAAAGGCCTTTGACAAAGTACAACATGAACCACTAAGACAAGTTCTAATAAAGAAAAATATAAGACAGCTGAGATATTCAAATTATATGCAATCCATATTGGAATCAAACAGCAAATGTCAAGGTTGAGGGCAGACTAACAGAAGAAATTCAAATCCGTCGAGGAGTCCGGCAGGGATGTATCTTATCGCCACTTTTATTTAATCTGTATAGTGAAGCTATCTGTGAACAAGCACTCAAGGAAGAAGATCTTGGTCTGATAATAAATGGTGAGACGATCAACAATATAAGGTATGCTGACGATACAGTTCTCCTAACGGGAACGCTAGTAGAACTACAACATCTCATTCAAAGTCTCAATATATACTGTAACAGTTACGGCTTGAAAATTAATTTGAAAAAAACTAAATTTATGGTAATCACGAAATCACGTGTCACGAACATCAGAGCTAATCTTGTAATAGACAATAAAACGATTGAGCGTGTGCTCTGTTATAAATATCTAGGTGCTTAGATCACAGACGATACTGATCAAACAAAAGAGATTAGATGTAGAATAGAAATCGCTAGATCAGTCTTTAATAGAATGCGCAAACTCTTTTGCAATCGTGATATCAATATAAAGTTACGAATACGAATGCTGCGGTGTTGTCTTTTCTACCCTGTTATATGGAGTTGAGGCTTGGACACTAAAACAGTTGACCATAAAAAAACATCGAAACTTTCGAGATGTGGTGCTATAGGCGCATTCTCAGAATATCATGGATGGACCACGTCACTAACACGCAAGTACTCCAAACTTTAGACAAAAGATGCGAAATTCTAAATGAGATAAAAACTAGAAAGATGGAATACTTGGGGCACATTGTGAGATTTGAAAAGTACGAACTTTTAAGAAACATCATGCAGGGCAAAATTAAGGGCAAAAGAAGTGTGGGAAGAAGAAAAATATCATGGCTTCGTAATCTACGTGAATGGTTCGGGTGTAGTTCGATTGAACTTTTTAGGCGCGCTGCTAACAAAGTCGCAGTGGCCATGATGATTTCCAATCTCCGCTAGGAGTGGCACGAGAAGAAGAAGAAGAGATTAAATAGCATTGGTGACAGCACACATTCGTGTCTAACTTCTTTTTTTAATTTGAATTTCATTTCTTGTGCTATTTTCGATGCGTGCAACTGCCTTCTGATTATAATACAGAGTAGATATTATTCTTATATCGCGAGTGTCTGACTGTTTAGCTTTCAAGATCTCTAAAAGTTGGTCATGCTTGACGTTATCAAACGCCTTGTTGTAATCAATGAAACAAGCAAATGCATCTTGATTTACATCCAAATACCTCTGTGTCAAGATGTTAAAGGCAAGTAATGCTTCGCGAGTTCCATATCCCTCCCGGAATCCAAACTGAGTTTATCCGATATCTTCTTCCAATTTTCTGTAAATTTTATTGTAAATTATTTTGAGAAATATTTTTAAGGTATGGCTCATCAGACTGATCATACGATGATCACTGCACTGCTTAGCATGTGCCTTCTTGGGAAGAGGGACAAAGGTTGATCTTAGCTATTCTTCAGGAATTATAATGTTTTCATAAATCTTGTTAAATAAGTCTACTAACAAATGGATTCGATCCATTCGATCCAATAAAAATACACTGTTGCTTAAAATAAAACACTACTTTACAACACACAACCAACTCAACAAACTGTATTCTTAGGTTGATTCACAACACAAGCATGTTACTACCCTCTTCCATCTCTGACGGCAGTCTTAGTCCAAGTCTTTGTTCCACCACAAAGCAGACAAATAACAAACAACTTAGTCTAATGGTGGCACCACACTGCGCTATGTCGCTATGTGTTATTTTTTGTGAGGTTTAGCTGTATTTGTCCAAATATTTGTTATTCGTCAGCGAACGAATACGCTACTCCACACTTATGCCGGTATTCCAAACATGTAAAATATTAGCGTCATACGTGTTTGGCAGAACAAAAAAAGGAACTTGAACGTATTGACAATCGCTGCAATTTATTTTTACTTAAATGCCTTTGACTAATACTTGTGACATATCATTAATATTGCATCTGATATAAATCCAAAAATATCATTACCTTTTCATTTGTTCACCCTATTTCACAGTAGGGATACCACAAATCAAAAGGTAATAGTTACGATAGTTGTATATACAAATTTGTCGAATTAACGGTTCAAGATTAACGAGAATTACAATAAAGTTAGGTTTAAATATAAACAGCAAGACTGCCAGTGCTAGCGAAGTGTGGACAGTCGACACATACATTCGGCGTGCATTTGGCATATTTGTACCATTTGAAGTGTGTCAAAAAACCGACAAGTGGACGGATAGGCGTATTTGCTATTCGGATGTTTGCTTACGCCCCCTCATCATGGTCATAAGTGGCTCGACAATCCGTTGTGGTTCTTGGTCTACTCACTAAGAAGTCGCCACTCCTGTTGATTCCTGGCAACTTCACTTCATCTTCTGACCCTTGAATCTGTAGGTCTTCTTCCACATCATCAATCCATCTCCTTCATGGTCGTCCTCTACTTCTTGTGCCCCCTGCTTTTGAAAATATTAGTCTCTTCGTGTATTCATAATCTGACATCCTAACAATGTGTCCAGCCCATCTAAGTCTCTGCACTTTAACAAATTTCACAATATCTGCATCGGTATATAACTGATATAGTTTAAATAGTTTAAAGTTGTATCTTCGACGCCATAGCCTAGTTCAGGGGTGCTCAAACGGTCGATCGCGATCGACTGGTCGATCGCGAGTGCTTTTTGGGTAGATCTCGAGAAGAAAAAAAATTTTAATAAGTAGGTAGGTAACTAAACTACTGTCAGCAGAGTTAAACGTTTTTATTAATACTGAACTATACAAATACATAGAATGCTTGACTAAGCATCATTGCAATTCAAAGAAGTTGGGACAACAAAATACTGTCCACACAGCATATTTTATATTTACATATATTAACTAATTATTTTATTAATTCAATATTTATTATAATTATTAATTAAATTTGGGATTATATTCTATCAACTACAAAAATGTATTACGTAATAAAATAACACTGCTTGCGGCAAAAAGTGGCTTTATCACAGGAACGCGCGGCACTTGTCAAAGAAAAGCCGTGTTGTTTCTAGACGAGAGACAGTACAGTCTAGTTTCGGGCGGCGCGTTTGACGGGAACATTCGAGACTTTCGTTCACGCCGATATAAATGTTGCGCCTTCAGGAATTGGATTTATTCTGAATTGTAACTTGATAGTTTTTAATGACTGGAAACAAAAACGGTTTTGTGGCATTGTGTCGAGCTAATGAAGAATTCCCTTCATTTTTTTCATTCCATTGCATTATACATCAACAAGTTCTGTGTTCAAAAGTTTTAAACACGGAGGAAATTATGGGCATTGCAACAAAAATTGTGAATTCCATCCGTGCATGTAGCTTGCAACGGCTGCTCTTTCAGTTGCAGTTGGAAGATAGGGAGTCAGCTGAACACACTGATTTAGTTCTTCACACGGACGTCAGGTGTTTGAGTCGCGGAAAATTCCTGGAAAGGTTTCAAGAATTATTGCCCGAAATAACAGCTTTTCTAGACGAAAGAGGTGATGACACTCAGATTTTGAAAAACGAAAAATAGCGAAATGATTTGGCATTTTTGACTGACATCACAATGCACTTAAACACCGTTAACTTGGAGCTTCAAGATAAAAGAAAAACTATTATTGAGATGATTAGCGCAGTAAACGCATTCAAAAGTAAATTGCAACTTATGATAGATCAACTGAAAAGAAAGGATCTGAAACATTTTCCGTCTTTGAAAGCAAAGATTCCTCAGTTGAATTATGATACGTATGAGGCTGAATTATCAAATATTTGGGGACAATTCGAAATGCGTTTTTATGAAAATTTTTATGATAAAAACATTGAGGAATTAGCTACTGAAATAGCAAGTCAGTTTAATATGAACTCATGTTCTGTTGAAAATGAGTTGGTGCAGATTATATCAGATATACATCTCCAAGCTACAGTATCCGATACAAATTTCTGGCGTTTTATATCTGAAGATAAATATCCAAATGTAAGGCAAATCGCCCTTCAACTGACGGCATTTTTTGGGTCAACTTACTTGTGCGAGTCTGCATTTTCTGAAATGAAGATAATTAAGTCAAAATATCGCAATCGACTAACTGACGATCATATGACATCATGCTTGCGATTAGCACTCAGTGGTTACGTACCATCTTATGAAAAGTATGCTGAGGACATGCAGTGCCACGCTTCAACATCCAAAGCCACTCCTTATTTAAGTTTAACACCATATGTAACTCTTTTGTTTTGTAATAACAAATAAACTCGCAATTTTGAATAACTATGAGTTTTTTCATTGATATTGTAGAGAAGAACTTAACTAAACCTAACCCAAACCTTGACTAAAATAATGTACCTATATTGTGCAGAAAGCTAATATCTATATATGCTACGGTAGGCCTTACCTAGGTAGGTAGGGTGTATCGTATATGTACGACAACCCTGCGTCACACACACTTGCAGTCTCTCAGAGTCGATCGTGACTAGTCTAAAAATATTGAGGTAGATCGCCAGCAGTTCAAGTTTGAGCACCCCTGGCCTAGTTAATCAGTCTTTTTATGCAACGGACATATTATTCACTTTAGCCACGCTTCTGGTACCAATTCGTTCTGCCATATAAGTACTATTAGTTTATGGATTGCTGTAAAAAGTACCATTTTTTTTTTCATTTTTATCGAATAAACTTTATATCTCAATAAGAGTGTTATGTTCGTATTCGCTCTTCTTATGTCGATAGACGTAAGAAGAGGGACTTTTCCTCTTTTCTAAGCCGTCCATATTCTTCTTTTTGTCCGTGTACAATCTGCTTCGATGTTTTGTTTGATATGCTACGTTCTTTCTACTTGTCGATATTTCGCACTCATGATCAAACCAATGATTTCTTTTTTCTGAGTTGGTTTTGCCCAATATTTCAACCGATTTCGGTAACAAAATATCTCGTATATTTGCCTATACTTGGTTAATGTCTTCTTCTTCTTTTAAGTTTTCTGTCTTTATTTGATCTTCTGATGCATACTAATTAAGCAAATAATTGTCGAAAATGTACCTATCCTTCACACTTCGTCTTGTTCGGCCAAATATGGCGCAAGCATGGTGCCGTCATAACAAACAAATAATAACTTAGATAGTTATTCAAAGACACGCGTCATAAATGGTCGAAAGTAGCCGGAATCACGTGTCGATCAAGGATTCTCTAAAATAGTGAATCGATCGATCATTAACAGCGTGTAAAGAAATATGTTCCCTTGCTGGTAACGTTACATTGTAACAATAGAATATTATATTTCTCTTTATAGTATTATACATAAAATATTAGATCCAGTTTAAAAAATAGCTTCTACTGACTCGCAAATAGACGGATTTTGATAGTATATTAATTATTCTTTTGTTTTAGGAAAGATAGACCGTGCGATATCTTAGGAGACATCATGGACGATTTCGTAACAACTTGCAAACAGAAATACATCTATAGACGGCTTCTTTCTCTAAACGATGCCGGCAAACCCGTCCAAGATACATTCAGACTTCCATCTGCTTGCTGTTGCTCTTATAGAAAAAATTTTGATTTTTTGGCTGGACTCGATACTTGAACATCTTTTTTAGCTAAGCCTGCTGTGTCATATTACGGCACCTTGATATTCAGGACACAGCTATTCTCCAACGCACTAGATTTTATTTCAGACATTTTATATTTATAAAAAGTGAATTTGATCGGCTAAAACAGTACTGAAGAATATATTGTGATAGTAGATACTATTTGACGGCTATATTAGGAATTAAAATAAGAATCCTAAGTGGAGATAAATTGAATTTTGAACACAATGTTCTAGAAGAAATAGTATGTACTTCTGCTTTCTGAAAAGTACTTACTATGTAGTACTTGGTTGTTTTGCAAATGAGAACAGAGCTCGCCGTAATATGACATAAAATTGTGAAGATATTTATACTGATAAATGCATTTAAACCTTAGGGACAATCACCGCTCGACAAGTACCTCTACCATTGCAGTACTACAACTACTAGTAATATTAGTACTATATTTATTTAAAGGTTTTCCTGCTCTTCATGCCTTCCTCTTTTTGCCCAAAACAATTACTGAATTTGATGGAATTAGCTCGATCAGTTGCCAACTGATTTGCTTTATTGCTTATTATGACACAATCTCTGTAATTTCTATCCCTAATTGTTGTGTTTCTTGCAATGTTGAACTACCTATTTTATATTCTGTTATTTTTTTTTAATTACACCCCCTAAAAAGTTCGTTTTATTACGTTCGTTTTTTTTTGGTTCAGCTCGTCAGATAAAAGACAGATCCCTTTTTTCACTCTTTGAAGAGCAAGGTTGAGAGCAAAAGGAGAATATTAACGAACATTATAAATACAATATTTTTATACTTTATATATTAAACAGCAAATGAAACTTGCTGCAGAATGAGGGATGTTTATGGAAACAAAGGACCACTTAATAAGAATATTAGTAAGAAGATGTATATTCATCGGTTGTGAATCAGGTAAGTTTAGCATTACATACACACACATAATATACTTGTGTAGGAGGGAGGGCAGTCAAAGCTTTGTCAGTCTCTTTTTGATATTTAATCATAGATAAGAGGGTTAGGTTAGGTTAGGTAAGGTTAGAGTATTTAATATTTGGTTAATGTCAGCATTGTATCGTCTATCATCAGACATGAGTAGTTGTCTACAAATTCAAAATGCTCCTTCTTTTTAGTCGTTAACTTGATGCAGGATTCACGATGTCATGAAACCATTATCTGATTTTCCCAATGTTTCTTGATTTTTCTCTATCTTATGCCATTCTAGCACATTCTGCTTGTTCACAAAAATGGTTGTATCATCTACATCCTCAACCTTGTACAATATCCCTTCCACCTTTGTATATATCCTCTTTAGAAGTGAGTAAAGTTCCCTTATCATCTTTGATAGTACCTAAAGTGGTTTGGTGCAAGGAGCGTGTTATTTGCTTTATTCTTTTTAACATGTTTCTTGTCTCCGTTTTGATTTTATGTTCTTCTATTTCCAAGCAGATTATTAGGAGTCATTATTTGGTCCTGTTTCTTTTAAATACTTTATTAAACCAGTATAATGTGTGTTACCATTGTTCCTGTCATAGTAATTACTTATACGAATATTTACTCTATTGGCGTTAAATGAAAATAATTTCTCTTTTTTTCTTCTGCTTTTTATACTAGTTGTAATTGTGTGTAAAATAAATGTCTTAGGAAAATTTTCTGAACTTATTATCTTAATATTTACTCTTTATCCCAAATTATAGAAGCATTCTTTTCTTTACAAAGTAATATTCTAGTCGTGAATTATTTTCTACAACTATTTTATCTGTTGGTAGAATTTGTTGTCATTTTTTTATGGTTGACTATCATGGTAGACTGCTTTCATACTACTGTTTCTTTTTAGTGCTGAATGTACTTTTTTCTACTAGTCTAAAATGTTCGTACCTTTTTGAGCATGGATTATGGCTCTATACTTTTTGTAAAACCAAGAGCCAATTCTTTTGTGCATTTGTATGCTTTACATTTATGAAGTGCAAGTTATAAGTGTTCTAAGCTGACGTTTTCATCCATGCTTAGTAGCTTTTTTCGTTAACATTTAGCAGTTATTTGAGATTTTAGCATATTAATATTGTATTTGATAGTTTTTGTACTATGGCTTTTTTTATACTCTTATATGTATTCATTTTTTGCTTTAGATATTCTTTAAACTAATTTCAAGCAAGCAACCAACAATACAGCAAAAATGAAACTGGTTTTATTACTAATAAGATAGTTTTTGGTAGGCTATACAAATTATTAGTTCTAAATTCTAAAACTTATTGCCATTTAAAAATAGAAATTGTTTATGCGTAAATTAATAAGTCTCATATATATTTTTTATTTTTAGGTAAAATGGGAAGGCAGCTGTCAATAATTTATAATATATTTACATAATATATATAAATATAATAAAAGTGTTATTTACCTACACAAATTGTATTTGAAATTAATATTCCCTGTAAATGTAATATATTAGATGTTGCGAAAAAGTTATTTTTTGTTTTTTACCAGAACCACTTATTACCAAATATATTTCAAAGTACGTATCCCCTAATGGCAATAATACACTCACTGGCAGAGCCGTCTTTACAATAGAGATCTTGGCCTGTACTTATAGAAAAATGTAAGCAGGTGCAGAATACTATTTTATTTTTTTTGTCATCATCATCATTCTGGCTTGGCAACCCTGTGTGGGTTCTAGCCTCCTCAAAAATGTCTCTCTTGTCTTCCCTATCTATCGCCTTTCTCCCCCAATCACGTATTCCCATATTTCTCATGTCTTCATCGATGTTATGAAAGAACCTATGTCTAGATATTCCCCTTCTTCTCTGACCAATGGGTCTATCAACGAGCGTTTCTATAGCTGAGTCATTTTGTTCTATCTACATACATGCCCTATCCATCTTAGACGTCCTATCTTAATATGTTTTATGATATCTGGTTCCTGGTATATTCTAGAAAAGTTCAAAGTTGTTCCGTCGTCTCCACACTCCGTTGTCATTTACTGCACAATAGATTCGCCTTAATACTTTTCTTTCGAAACATGCTAACATGTTTTCATAACTTTTTTGTTTTCTGACTCAAATGTTAGGACTGGGCGTAATATTGTTTTTTAGAGTTTTATTTTGTATTTCTCGATATAATTGTGGATTTAAGCAGAAGGTTGAGTTCAAAATATCATATGTTGGCCGTGCAAATTCTGCAGTAGTATTATTTTCAGTGTTAAGGAGTACCTACTACCAGGTATACAAATTCGTTCACTGCTTCGATGACGTCGTTTTCTAAGTGGTCGTATGATTTATGGTTGCATGCTTATTTTTATACACTTCGTTTGCTTATTATTAAACCTATATTTGTAGCTGATTATTTTAATGTTACATACACCTCGCGTACAGCGTTTTCCGTTCTCCCAACAATATTGATATCATCAGGCCAAGATTTTCATTGATTTATTATATATTGAAACAATTAGCGACCATAACTTGGTAGTAGCCAGAACTAGTTTCGGAGTGTAACAAAAACTAACACAAAAGAAACCTAGAACAAGAGACAAAGCCATTAAGAAACCACACGCAGCTATTAAGTAAAACAAGCTAGCAGATCAGAAAATAGCACAGAAATATAAAATCTATGTAAACAATAGTCTACAAAAGACCTAGGTGAAACTCGGCACAAACTTAAAGAAGAACTCCTTGATAGGGGGTAAGCAAATCTTCAATATGGCCAGAATTAATGAAAAGAAGCAGGGAACGAATTAGTGGAGTAACGAAATAAAAGAAGAGGTTTTTTTTATGAATGTATATCGAAAGTATTATAAACAGATGGAGAGAATATTTCGAAAACCTCTTGACCCAAGAAAACTCCATTAATGAATTAGACAACACTAAAGAAAAAGTGTTCTCTTGCAAATGAGAACCAAAATCAAAAGATGAAATAAGAGAAATATTATTCAAGTTAAAGATAGAAAAGGCAGTTGGATATGATAATATATAAACGTGGAAATCCTAAAAAAATTGAGAAAAACCATATAATGAAAGCAAGATCCCAAAAGACTGGGAAGCGGGGGTTATTTTACCCATATTAAAAAAGGAAACAGATGAGATTGCAGCAACTATAGAGCTATAACCCTCCTTTAGTATCCCTTTAAAAGTATACAACTAAGGTACAGTCGCCAATTAAGGCCACCTTAAGGTTTAAATATCTGTAATATTTTATTCAGGAACAATATGGGGGAAAACTCTTGTATACATATTGCCTAACATTTTAGCTATCAAATTTCAGGATAAAATAGTTACTAAATAAATAAAGAAATATAAAATTTTAACTTTGAATAAATCTGGAATATTTGGCCTTATTAGGAATTGGTAGCTTAATAAGGCCAGAAAGAAACTTTTATTCATATTAAAAAAAAATTTGTCAATACATTAAGCACACATATCGCACATTTATTCACATCTAGGATATACAAACATGTCCTTATCCTTTTTTATTAACCCTATACATTCCTCGTGGATGTACTTATTACACCGAACACACTTGCGCATGTCAGCCACTCTATCCTCATCACACAAGAAGCAGTACCATGAGTCTTTTTTTAAATTTGGTTTTGGATCTTTTTTTAAATTAGGTTTAGGTTTGGCTGAGCTATGAGATTGTCCTTTAAATAGATCCCTGGTAACTTCTTGTGCTTTCGCATTAATGGCTTGTCGACGCTTTTTTGTTGATACTTTCAACTCCGGTGTAGTCAGCAAACCACTGGAACTAAAACTTGCATTCAGCTCTTCACATGGCTCTGTTTCACTTAGTTTTGCCACCATATTATTGTCATGATTAGCTGTGTAAACTACATCACTCTTCTCATAATCCTCGCTGGAAGCTGTATCGCTTGTATAAGACCCAGATGAGTCGCTGTCTTCATCTGAGATGTTCATATGAGTTTGAAAAACTTTATACAGTCCTGTTTTTTTTTAAATTTTCCTTTTTTCACTATTCGACAATGCTTTGCTTTTAGATTTTTGGTTT